CCCCGCCGGCGCGGGCAGCCGGCGGACCCTCAGTTTTCTCAGCCGCCCCTCTCCCTGTCGCTCACCATTCACGCACCCCACCGTTTTTCCACACACTCTTTGGTGCAGGTGGGTCCTCGACTGGTCTGCCCACTACGACCCGGCCCTCGACGCGGCCCACCAAGACCTGCAAACCTTCACCGCTCCCTTCACGCCGCCGACCTCCTACCATGGCCCGCCCTCCTACCACGGCCCACCCTCCTACCACGGCCCGCCCCCTGCCGGCGCGCTCGCCATGCTTTCACTCTCGCTGCCCCCCGGCGCCCGCGGCGGCGCCGCGCCGCGCGCGTGGGCGCTGTCGGGATGGGGCATCGGCGGCGCGGCGCCGTGGGCGCCCGCAGGCGAGCCGCTCGGCCGCGCGGTGAACAGCGCGAGCTGGGCGCACGGCGCGCGGCCGGGGGCAGCTGCAGGGCGGCTGCCTGCCATGGGCGAGGAGCGCGGCGACGAGGACGACGCCGCCGCGGCGGGGGCAAAGGCGGCGTCGGTGGTTTGAAGCTTTCCGAGGTTGAGACGTGGCCGAGGATCGCTTGGCTTGCAGAGGATCTGGAGATCTGGAGGAGCTGACCACGAGCTTCCGACGTCCACAAGCGATTGGAGAGGGTACGCATCCATGAAACCAAGATGTGGAACTTTGGAACGACAGAAGAGCGGCGCGGCCTTCCCCAACTCGGCTGCTTGACCTGGCGTGTGCCGCCTGTGGGGGCTGGAGCCCTGCTGCCGCGTCCCGCCGCCCGTGCACTCCTGCCTCGCGGGCCGGTCGCGCCGGGGGCACCTGTTTAGGCCCATCTCATGTACTCTTACATCAGGAAATCGATCACGAGCGCCCCCATACCCTCCTCGCCCTCTGGTGCATTCAACCAAGAAAAGCTCCCCTTGCCCCTTTGCCAGTTTGAACGAGCGCCGCTTCTTCCGCCGCTGCTCGGCCACGCTTCCGACCCCGCCAGTGTCGGACCGCTTTCGATCGCTCACACCAAATTCTAGCCCCTCCCTTGAATCAAATCAGAACGGCGGACGCCCGGCAGCGTTTTGCCCTGCCGCCGTCCGCCGCCGCCATGATTGGCGGGGTTGCTGGCCATACCTACGTGCATGAACGCCCCGCGCGCGTCCCCACCTCATCCTGGCGCCGCCGCTTAGAAGCCGACGGCTGGCCGGGAGGGGCGGGGTGCCGCGATGGTGACGCGAGGTCGCGGCCCGCATCCCCCCATGATGCTCTGCGCAGCTGCTTGCCCACATGAAAGGGTCTGGCGCCGCCCTGAAGGGAGAAGCGGCGCGAACCATCTCTTATTCTTCCGCCTTGCACTGTTCAGCGGCAAGCCCATGGCGCCCATGACGGCTGGTGGCGCGGATGACATGATATGTATGCATCTCATCCGCCGCACGGCCCGAAGGCGCGGACGAGGGGACTGACAGGGCCACGCAGCTGCCGGGCAAGTGTCGCCCCTGCGAGCGCTTTGCCCGTGGCGCGACCTGCGCCCTCCCCTTTGACTCCGCGCCGCGCCTCGGCGGATCCCCCGCCCACGGGTTGTATGCACTTTGTTGCCTTGTGAGTGCTTTGTGGTCTGGCGCCGCCCCACGCAAGCCCCCCCCCCTCGTTCCTCGCGCCTGCGCCGCCGCCTGACTTGTTTTGGCCCCACCTGCAACTTCGAATAGCCGTCCGAGTTCCAACGAGTGGCGACACGCGCCGACCTATGTCGCATATTCACAGCTAAAAGATGTTGCAAGTGCCGGGTGTCACGCCGCCTCGGCGACAGGCTTGCCCATGGCTTGAGTAAAGGGGGGACGTGCAGGTGGGGACTCATCAGATGGCAGCAGCGCACGGAGGGGGGCGAGGGGGGGGGGGCGCCCTCGCTGCCCCAGGGGGAGTTAAAAGCCACTGGAGCGCCAACGAGTTGCCTGTATCACAGTATGAAGTGGGCAGGGCCGAGGGGAGCTGCAGGGGCCCAGCGAGGGTGCGTAACGTGAGGCACACAGGCGGGGGAGGGGGGGTGTTGATCCTGCCGCCGTGGTCATATGACAGTGACTGCTGCTGGCGGCGCCGCGGTACGTACGAGACAGTAACACGGCAGACAGGCGGCAGCCAGCGGCTGGACACCGCAGAGGGCACGTGCACATCACGCACGCGTACACACATACACACACACACACACACACACACACACACACACACACACACACACACACACACACACACACACACACACACACACTGGCTCGCCACCGCCAAGGTGAGAGTGGGGGGCCCCATCACCGTGTCTCCCCCATGACGACTCGGGTCGACCATCGAAACCGCCGTCGCTGCGCAGCTTCCTCCGGCTTCCCGCTGGCGGCGTGCCTGCAGCGCCCGCTCTATTTTGCCTTTCCTGCCAGCTCGCCTCGAAAGGGTCGCGACCGACACGCAGTGGAAGGAGAAAAAGCGATTTTGGTTTTCTTGTAATTGTGAGGAATACGGTACGCACACGGGCGTTGCGGGGCCCATGAGTTGACTCACCCATCGGGTGCCCCTTCCCCAGGTGCAGTGTGCACATTGAACGCGCTGTACAGCGGCCTGAACCAATTTCGATGACTCTTGTGATTTTAGGCTATCGTCAATCCTAGGTGCAATCGTGACACGCGTACCTAATACGGTGTCAAAGCCCGTCCCAGCAGGCGTTGCGGATGCGATAGTCATATATAGAATCGCCTCATAGCAAAATTTGTGGCCGCACACACCTGCTGCGCCTGCTGCACCGTCTCATTCAACCCCGCCGCTCGCCTAAGGTGGTCACAGCCTCACCGCGGCACCCCCGATTCGGCAGCGCGCCCGCGCCGCTGCCGCCAGCGCCGCCCAGATGACGGCAGAAGGGGGCACATGCACGCCCAGGGGCGCGCCGCCGTCCGTGGTGGCCTCTGGGGCGCCCCTGCCGGACCTTGCGCGTCTGAGCCGCATGAGCAGTGTCAGCACACTGCAGCGGTACACCGTGCACCCCCCGTGAGTCTCCGCCGCCGCTGCCATATGTGGGGCGGAAGCTTGCTCACGAGGCCATCGGTTGGGCCGCGGCGTGACACGAGTTGCGTGAACGCGCGGCCAGAGCGCATGCAAGAGGTGGCGGCAGGCATGGGGTTCGTTGCTGACTTGCGGCGAACATCTGACCAGGCAGTTCCGCTTTTGGGTGGCAGTGACGAGGGATGGGCAGCTCTTGCCAGCGCGCCAGCAGTCACAACAACCAGAGCCGCGCAAAGCCGCTGCTTTTGTACGTGTGCATAGCACCGAGGTGTGATTATCGCATGCGCAGCAGCGGCTGGCTGATCAGGGGTGCCACCCAGTGGGGTGGAGTGTGGTGGGGGTGCAAGAAAGTGGCGCGCCCGACATGTGGCGCTGTACAGCGCCGCGTGACCGCGGATGACATCCAGCAGCCCGACGACATTTGCGGCGCACCACGCCACCGCCAGACTGTGGTGTTCAGCCTTTCAGAGCGTAGCGTGCCCCTGCACGCACCCGGCATTTGGAAAAGTGTGGACCCAGTTGGCTGTTGGATACACGTCTCCAGAAAGCCCCCCACCCCACCCCTCGGGAGCCCCACACCCCATCCCCAGAACTCAAACACACGCCACCGCACCCACCAAACCCCCTCCTGACAGTGCCAAGCCTGTGCGCCGCCACCCAGTGGCCGCCGCCTTCCTTTGGTGGGCGGACTGGGC